TCCATTCAACAATATGGAAAAAGCAGAAAATTTGCCAAAACAAATGTAAGTTGACAATTGTGTTCACGCGTTACGGATTATGCTCTGTTAAATAAGCTACATTTTGGCTGGATTCAGATAATACATCAAAGCTACCTTGTACAAAGAAACAAAACTTTAGGGTATTAACAGCAGATGTATATTTAGATACAAAAAGCACAGGATTGTTCCCAAAGCTGATTGGATTATAGCAACAGATCAAGGAACAAAAAAGTTAAAAGATTCACTAGGTACAAAAAAAGGGATGACTTAAAAACTTCACATTAGAATATTGAGGTAAATAGAATATGAAGCAACTTTTAAAAGAAGAATCTGAAGAAAAATGTAAAGGAAACCATGGTTATAACCACAGGCATCCATGAAGGGGCCAAAGGGTTGGTCATGTGTCATGATGCAAAATCTACAACTTATGTGCTTGCATTAGACTGTGATACAAACATGTAAGGATGGAGTTTGCCTCATGACATTATCATGTGAGGCAAATTATTATTATAATCTGTACATTATGTTCTATCTATGCCTTTTGGGTAATGCGGCTTGAGTATAATTACTGAGTCTAGATGTATCCATCTGAATTCAATTGATATTGCTAGTTAACAAAAATATATAAAACAAGCATAGAACAAGCCCTAAGTGACTTATTCAAGTAACTGATCAAATGTATTCATTTTTATTGTAACCAACTGTGTAGACATAGTTGTTACGAGGAATCTCCAGATTTACTATACTGCATAACAAGAATATCACATTATTTACATTTAAAAGGCAATTTGTTGTCAAGCAATGTATATATATCATAGTCCAAAAGGCTGATAGTTTACATTTTTATACTGTAGTTTTTTTCTAAATTGCATTGTATTTTACTGATGTTTCTATATGTACGGTTACTTGTATACTCTTATAGAGGGGTCTCCCTAAATATTAGAAATAATAAAAATACATCAGAACACATACTAAGGTGCTTGCATTTATGTGTTGTTGAAAGACATTTGCTTATTGTTTTGACTTAAAACTTTTTAAATTAAAAACACACATTTGTAGTAAAAAGATGGCCAGAAAATTAAATTTCTCAAAACAAAAGTTTCTTCTAACATCAGTGCAAAAAAAAAAATGAACTACTGATTTGATGAGGAACTATTTTTATTTAAAGATGGTATGAACCAACTGAAGATCTCTAATCAATTTAAAAATATCTCATAATCTGAAATCAGAGTGCTTTATGTAGGCGGTTAAAAGTGAATCCTCCTACTGTCTTCTGACAAGTGTATGTATACAAGTGTATGTATATATGTAATTGTCCCTTCCCTGGGATATGACTAACCTTGAAATGTATCCAGATAGCACATTTTGCTTTTTGTGGATTAGAATAGTGCATTTCAACCTGTGGTATGTCGGCACCTGGCAAGTGGTTTGCATACAACAGGTTGAAAAGCACTGTAAAAAAAAGGTGTAAAAGTGTAGTGGGGGAGATGAGCTGAAACACGGCAACACTGCACAGACCTGTGGGTGAGTCAGCTGGAGCTGCGGTGTTGCTGGGGCTCAGCTGAGTGCCCAGGATTGGCGCATGGCTCCAGCTGATTGATGCTTCCAGGAGCAGCGTGCAGCCTTGGGGAAACAGCTGGGGTTGCACCGAGGGGGGGGGGAAGAGGATATAAAAGGAGGTGGTTTTGGCGGGAAAGGGAGAGAAAAAAAGATGGGGAAAAAGAAGGGGATGGAGAAAGACGAAGAGGAGAGGCTTCTTTGAGACAAGCAGAGGGAGAGAAGGGGATACAACAGTGCAAAGATTAATTTGAGAGAAACAGGTACAAGTTCATTAAAAGTGTGGTAAGTGGGCATACAGATAGTCCTCAACCTACGACCACAATTGAGCCCAAAATTTATGTTGGTGAGAAATTTGTTAAATGAGTTTTGTCCTATTTTATGACTTTTCTTGCCACATTTGTTAAGTGAATCACTACAGTTGTTAAATTAGTAACACGGATAAGTGAATCTGGTTTCCCCATTGATTTTGCTTGTCAGAAGGTTGCAAAAGGGGATCACATGACCCTGAAACATTGTGATCATCATAAATATAAATCAGTTGCCAAGCATCCAAATGTAAATCATGTGACCCTGGGGATGCTGCAAAGGTCATAAGTGTGAAACGTGATCATAAGTCACTTTTTTCAGTGCTGCTGTAACTTCGAACAGCCACTAAGCGAACTGTTGTAAGTCGAGGACTACTTGTATTTTATAACTTTTTTCCTTTTGGGGAGGGGGTCATCAAGTTTTTGACACCCTGCTAGGTGAGTAGTGGTACTCAAATATTGCCATAATCTAAAAGTGGTACAATCTGTGAAAAGGTTGAAAAGCCCTGGATTAGAAGACACAAGGGCAGGATTGTGAATCTCTGAATTCAGTTTGGGTAGATATACTCAGAATACCTATCTACGTCTCTCAATCAAGAACTGTGTTTACAGCAAGGGAGGCACTAAGGTAGTAGAGATAAAATGTTTATAATCATAGTGTTGACTTACTAACAGGCCACAGCACTTTTCTCCCTCTGCTTATTTTCCCTCAGCAGCCTCACTTTTAAAAACAATCACAGCTAGATTAGATAATTAAAAACAGGGTTTATAAATAAAGCTAACAGACTTTTGACTACAGTTACAGTGTCACTGCCTGCTAAAAACAGGCACACACGCGCACTCACAGTTTATCAGATTACAAATTAGCTGCTGTGGAATAGGCTTTAAAAGAGTTACATAATTACAAAATAACCACATTGTTTCAAGAACTTTTATAATCTTTTAATTAGATTAGCTTTACAAGCAACTCGAGAGCTCTTTCAATAAGGAACACCGATTTTCAAAAGTTACATGACTTTGTAATAAATCTGCAAATGAATCCTGAATTTCTTTGCCTGCTAGATAAAAGTCTTGTTTTACAGCTGGCTAATGTCATGAAATAAAAATAGCATCATGAAGCTTTATCTTTAACCAGGACTAAACAGAAATACAGGCCATAAGACGGTCTGAAACAGGTTTCTATTTGGTGATGCCCCAGGCTGAAAATTTAACTGACGTGAACTGTTTTCAAATGGGCATCAGAGGCCCCGGTTTGGTAACTTTTCTAAATAATGGAGATATCAAAGAGACTGTATATCTTCCCAGCAAGCGCAAATGTAAGATGCTGATACCTTTGAATAATGGGACAACAAAGTAAAGTCTTAGGTTTGCATTTTAACACATTAAACATAATACAAAAGCAGTTAAGAGTTAGATTTACTAGACCTAAACTGTGCATTGCGCTGCAGACCAGTCAGTAAAGAATTTACACTCCTTGGCCAGGCTTCCAGAGGCACTTAAGAGTAAGATGTGTGTTCTTCTGATTTACCAGGATGGAGAGAAAAGTTAAACTATTGCAAGTTTGACAGCTAGTAAGTAATTTTGGGAGAAGGAAACAGAAGGGAACCAAAAAAAAAACAAAAAAAACCCAACTCAATTTTTTTTGTAACTTTTCCCAGCATGTTGTTAGAATGTTGAATTTTCTCCCTTCTGTCAATGGTCATTAAGCACAATCCTTGTTGTTTTTCATGTTTTACATGAATAGTAAGTTTTTTTTTTAATAAAAATTACCGAGCTTTCCATAGAAAAGGACTTTTAAGAATACAAACTATACAGATGTTAAGTTGTATACAGAGAAACGTTTCTGTACACTTACTTTATTTTGATTAAGTGAGGTAAAAAAGGGATTGGTGATGCTATCGGTAAGGCTGGGAGAATTTAAAAGCTTCCCCCTTCAGGGAAATCAGCATTTCAGCAGAAAACTAAAATAAATTTCACATAGCTGGTAAATGAATGTTGTTGTTCCTCACTGTTATTTTTCCAGAAACATTAGACCATTGTAAAAATTTCTCCACAGTATGAAATCCTTCACATATTAAGCCTGCAGTGATGCACTTCAGTCTTAATGTATTTAATCTACCCCTGACACTATGTAAGAGGATCAAGGGGCAAACAGTAAATGATGAGGGATGATAATGTTTTGAGAGAAAACTTATCTCTGATTTTAACTCACACAAATGAGAGAAAGCTTTGAAATGAGTTATGACAGATCTCCCATCAAAGTAATGGACGGGGGTGTTGCTTCATCTAAAAGCCTAGAAAAGCCCTTACCGTTTAGGTATTGAATGATATCTGTGGACAGAATCCACCTAGTACAGTGGTTCTCAACCTGTGGGTCGGGACCCCATTTGGGGTCGATCGACCATTTCACGGGGTCGCCAAGCAAGGCTGTCCGCCATTTTTTTTGTCCGCCATTTTTTCCCCCTTTTCCGGCGGGTGCCTTACCTCCCTTGGGCTGGGCCAGCTGGTGGTCGGCCTGCTCCATCTCTGCCGCTTGCCAGCTACGCCTCAGCCGGCGCAGGGGGCGGAACCACGCATGCGCGGCGCTCCCGGGCAGGAAAAGTCCTCGACTTACGACCGGTTGGGTAGTCCTCGACTTACGACCGGTTTAGTCCTTGGCTTACGACCGGTTGGGGTCGCGGCATTAAAAAGGTTGAGAACCACTGACCTAGTAATTCATCTGCAGAAGTTGCACAAGAGCCCAGCTTTTCTTTGAAGAACTACGTTTCCATCAAATGGGTTCACAGATTGAAGTTCCCAGTGGAGTACACCCATAGCGTTCAACACTATGACAGTACAGATAGTGTCAAGTTCACTTAGTGGCCAGCCAGTCACTTAGAAAAACCCAAATGAAACAGATTAAAAAATGGTTACTTTCTGGATCCAGTAAATTAAGCCATAAGTAACTGACAGAAAGACAGGCATCTTTTTCATGTTGCTTAAGTTTCAGAGAGAACACAATACAATCAATCAAATCAGTATAAGATATGAAAAAAATGGGTTCTTAGATGATTATTAAAGTGCTCCTTTTTAGATTTTAGGTAAAAAGACAATCATTTACTGGCATTTCATTTATTTAAATTAAGTTTTATGTGGTAGAATAATGGGGAAAATAGCAGATTTACAAAAATAGATAAATGCTACTTTGGAGAATGTTTTGTTCAATTTTGATCACTGAGCCTAGTTATACAAAATTATTTAAACTCCACATTTATCACTTTTTTAAAGAGGAAGATGAACAGCTCTGAACTGAATGTCAGAAGATGAATGATAGAAAATCTCTACTGTCGGGCACTTCATGTGTAAACTGTTTCTTGTCAATGCTTATCTTTACATTAGCAGTCACAGGACTGGAGTCACAATCGTGGAGTTACAATGTTTCAGCAGTTAAAAAGCCATTTGATGAAATATTGAAACCCATTGTTTACTGATTCAAAATCCTGATTTGGTGTTGATTTTCTTTTTCTTATTATTCACATTCAAAAGTTAATAGATATCACCAAAGTTTGATGAAGGTGAGGTGAAAAGAGCCAGGATGTAGAGGAAGGAACTGTAAGAGCAAAGGCTTTACAAATGTTCTTTCCCATTTGAATCCGAAGGTTTATTTAGTTCAACTCTCACACCTTTTTCACCTGCAAAAAAGGAAGGATATCAATATGGAGAGATGGTAGAGATACATGGATTGAAAATAAGTTATAATTTTCCTTTTATTAAACTTTAAAACAAAATATAATAACATATTTTTAGAACTTCACAATTAATGCCTGTTTGAAACCAAGTTAAATATTAATTCACTATTAAAATAATTATTAACTAACAGGACATACTGAATTATACAAAACTAATGACTGAATTTGAAAAAACCCCCAGCATCACGGCACATCTTTGCACTTGGCTTTTGAATGTTAAAACAATTATTATGTTATTTTGTTATAATTAACACAGCATCTTAGTTTCATTTTTATGTTATTTATTTATTCATCAAATGTATACGGCCACCTATCTCACAAAAAAGTGCCTTTACTGGTTAGTCCTCAACTTACAACCATATTTGAGCTCACAGTTAGTCCTTGAAGCGGGTGACACAGCAGAGAAATCTGCCTCCTGAGTCCCACCAAATGTAGTTCCCTGACAGGACCGCCCTATTCGGCTGGAACCAAAAGGACAGGCAGATATAATTGGGGAGAAGTGGTCCCTTAAATAATCTGGCCCATGTAGGGCTTTACAAGTAAAAAAACCAGCACCTTGAACTGAAACTTAAAAAACAAACTGGTAACCAGGGTTGTAATATGTGTTGTTCTAGAGACACATATAACTGCAAGTGCCACTGCATTTTGTACCAGTTGAAGTTAAAGGTTTATGGTTTTAATTCTAACTTAACTTCTGTGGACCTCACTTCACATTTAAGAGGACCCTGAGGGGGAGTGCATAAGTGCACTGACGTGCCTAGCATGTCTGTCACATTTTGATTTTCTTATTTTCTTTGTTCAAATTTGTAATTTTCATTTAAATAAATAAATAAATAAATAAATAAACAAACAAACAAACAAACAAAGTAAGTAAGTAACTAAGTTTCCAGATATTCTTCAAGGGCAGTCCCACATAGAGTGCATTTCAGTAGTCCAATTAGGAGGTGATTGGGGCATCAGTGGTTGTGAACAGAGCTGATAGAAATGAGCACATCTGGCACAGAATATGAAATTGTGCAAAGGCCCTCTTAGCCATCACACCCACTTGCTATTTAAGCAGGAGTTGTGAGTTCAGGAGGATCCCAGGTAGCACACCAGGTCTGTTAGGGGGGCAATCCCATCTCAGCACTAAAGTTCGTATAGTCTTAGATCTGGCAACCTCCAAAACCCAACACTAGGGTTCAACTGAAGCCTATTGTTCCCCATCCAGACCCTCACAGCCTCTAAACATCAGGATAAGATATCCAGGACATTGCTTAATTACCAGGGGCAAAGATGTATAATTGGGATACTCTATCCCATGGTGATGGATAAACTCACACAGCGATCTTAACTAGATGTTGAATAGGAATGGAGAGGGCACTGAACCCTTTGGCACCCCACAGAGTAAGGGCTAAGGCAAAGATCCCCCCCCAACATCCACTAACTAGAATCAATTCAGAGAAAGGAAGTGAATCAGCAACAGTGCCACCCACCCCGCATCCTGACTGCTCCTGTTGTTAGAGTTATACAAGTAGTCCTTGAGTTACGAGTGTAATGGAGCCTACCCATTCCACTCGTAACTGAAAAACTCGTAGAGTGAATCTCATACCTCGAATGAGATCACTCCCTTGCTCGTTAAAACGCACACAGCTCATTAAGTGAACATGAGGTATCTCAGGGTGGGGAAGGCCATGGGGGGGCTAGTGATGGAACAGGCCCCCAAGGCCTCCCCAACCCACTAAGATACCTCATACTTCCCCCTCCCTTCCTGCTGCGCCAGACTCACCTGGAAAAGATCTGTCTCCTCTCTGCCGCGGTTCCTGCTGCCACCCGGATCTGAGGTCGGGGAACGCTTCTGTGCCCCCTTCCCCTGCTGCTGCTTGGAAACAGACTGCTGGAGGGATACGTAAGTGTCCCCCGGCCTCAGATCTGGGCAGCAGCAGACTGGAAAAGCCCTCCAGAGCCTTGATCCGGCCTCCGGAGGCACACGGAAACGTCCCCCGGCTTCGGTTCCATTCTCTGTTGCAGAGAACAGAGGCCTAAAGTACCATGAGATCACGCACGATCAGTAGCGTGAGATCTCGCATGATCTTGCATTACTTTAGGCCTCCATTCTCTGCAAACGCATCGAAGGCCTGGAGCAGCCAAGAAAGCAAAGGATCTTGATCTTTGCAGGGAGACCCGGGGCGGGGGTGGGGAGAGGGAATAATGAGGGTTAATATTGCAGAGCCTCTGCGGTCGCTCGTAAGGGCGAACGACTGCCGTGGTGCTGCAATATTCATAATTTCGGGACTTGCTCGTAAGCACTAGGGAGCGCTCATCACATAACTTTGAACGAGCATTAAGTGAATGCTCGTAAGTCGGGGATTACCTGTATTCTCCTTTTTATTCAGGAACACAAGAGTGCTCCCTCTTCCTCTTTTCCCCCACAGCAACCATGTAAGGTAAATTGGATCATCATTCAGTGAATCTCCCACTGAGGGGCTATTTGAATTTGGATCTCCCTATTTTAATGGCTGATTCTGTTTTAAAATAGTTGTAATTATTTGGTTCCATATTTTGTACAGTTAGCTATCTCGAGCACTTTTTGCAGAAAAATAGGATATAAAACCAACAGATTAATAAACAAACTAATACTATTAATTCTGACAATGCAGGTCCTTTGATGGACAGTTAGCAAGTAGAAGCAAAATTTCAGGACATTTCAGAGAATCAAGCAAATAGATCCTCATCTTTTAGAAACTATACAATGTGCCTATTCAAAGGTTATATACTTTTCCCACTTCCCTCTTATTCTTACACAGCAAAAGTAATCTAATACAATATAATATATAATCCTATTTTTGCCAAAGCAGTCAGTTTTAGTAAACTATCCCCCTAGAGTGGATAGTGCTTGACATTTTAATAGTGACAGTAAATCAATTTCTATGCTCTAGATAATAGCATATTTTTGATTAATCATCGTTTTTAAAAATAATTTAGAATAATCCTACTAGACCAAATTCAAATAAGAAATTTGTAAAACATCCAGTAAGAAAATATGGGAACTTACTTACCTGTTAAGTATTTTACTTTTGCACGGGCTCTTTCATCTGCATCAAAATACCACACTGTTATTGCGTACCTTTAAAAGAATGAAAAAGATGAAGCAGTAATGGTACATTAAAATCATGTTTCTGTCAAGATTACTTTAGATTATTTCTATTACACTTGAAAAGTACAATTCCAACACAATTTGTCAGTTTTATAGAATTATTTTCCCCTTATATGGGGTCCATGAATATCATGATCTTTCGTAGTTTATATAAATTATTAGGGAACTAGGCAATTTTTAAAGTGAAGCTCAAGATACTTACTATCTTAATTTCTCTAGAACTGAGACCTCTCTAATTTATGGAAATTCATTTTTAAATCAATATGAAAAGAAGTAATATTGAAGTATCTTGTATCTTTGCTGATTAATATGCTTCAAACTAATTTTACCAGTCTATTAATTCTTAATAAAACATTTGATAGATATTCCTATCTTACACTATGCAATGATTCCTTAATTTTTCAATTTATAATTGAAACGGATTACTTTTTGTCATAGCATTAGTTAAAATAATACCATAATAGATTAAATTTATTAACTTTTTTTGCAATCTCTGAAAGAGGATATATACAGGTCCAGCCCAAGAACAACATAGAACAATCCAGCCAAAGTTTATTTCTTTATTTTTACATTCAATAGGCAGACTCACTAGACTTTTTTCACTAAACCCAACTCCATTAAAGGTTCATTATTGCAAAATAGTAGTCCAAAATTCTAAGTTTTTATTTATTATATATTCTACAGTACTTAAACTGATAGACTTTGACTCTGATGGCCCACAAATAATAGCAGCAGGGTAGACCCCCAAATTGCAATAAGTATTTTAAATGTGAAGAAAGTTTTGTTCATCAGTAACTTTCCAGAAAGCAATTAATGTATTTTTGAAAGCTAAAACAATGGGTTTTTAACATTTCATACCCTCCATGCTTCTTTAAAATCTGTATGTATGATTCATTCATCTCACCTTGTAGCAAATGCAGGCTGCACTTCATGAGGGTTACGGCGATCAGACCAGAAGAATAGCAGTCTATCAAATTTAGGCTCAATATCAGCAAACTGGGCTTTGCCTTCTGGGAATATTCGAAGAATACCCCCACTTACCTTGAAAAAAATTCAACAGGAATTTACAGTTTTAGTAGTTATCAGTAAGATATTATCTGCTACAATAGATAACAGCAATAATGGCAATACTTCCTAATATTCCAAAATTCCTCAGGATGAAGCATAAGTAACAGAAAATTACAGTTACAAAGGGCCATCAAACGAAGATGATACAAATTATCTTCTGGCTGTCTTTCCACAACTTTCCAAAAGATGATTCTTCCTCCTCCTTCCCTTCTTCCCTTTCAACATATACACTGAACACCACAATTAAAGATATAACACGTTTGGTACTTTATTATAAGTACGTTTATTACATTTTCATTTGAATTACTTTACCAACAACCACAAAACATGAATTTATTGTCATAAAAACATAAGCTGAGGGAGAATTACTTCAGCCTAAAGGTCTCAGTTTACATAATAGAATTTTTAATATATTTTTCAAAAGTAGAACCCGATAAAATTTTAGGTCCTAGACAGAATATATTTGCCCTGGAGACCCAAGGTTAGTTGCAAATGCAATCTTAAAAATAAGTATGCCAGATATTCAAGGGTGTCAGTTAAAAAATTAGGGAAAAACCATCTTAAGTATTTTTAGAAATAGTAGTAGTAGTAGTAGTAGTAGTAGTAGTAGTAGTAGTAGTAGTAGTAATAATAATAATAATAATAATAATAATAATAATAATAATAATAATAATAATAATAATAATAATAATAATAATAAAGTATTGCAAGTATGGCCTTACCAAGGCATTGTAGAGTGGTATTAATACTTCACGTGATATTGATTTTATCCCTCTGTTAATGCAGCCCAGCACTGTGTTGGCTTTTTTGGCAGTTGCAGCACACGGCTGGCTCATATTTAAGTGATTGTCCACTAGGACTCCGAGATCCCTCTCACAGTTACTACCATTGAGCAAGGTACCACCTATATTATACCTGTGCATTTGGTTTTTCTTGCCTAAATGTAGAACCTTACTTTTTTCACCAATGAATTTCATTTTATTAGATAGTGCCCAATGTTCAAGTCTGTCAAGATCCTTCTGTATCCTAAGCCTGTCTTCTGGAGTGTTGGCTATTCCTGCCAGCTTAGTGTCGTCTGCAAATTTGATGAGTTCCTCATCTATCCCCTCATCCAAATCATTGATGAAGATGTTGAAGAGCACTGGGCCCAGGACAGAGCCCTGGGGCACCTCACTACACACTTCCCTCCATGTAGATGCAGTTTCATTGAGGACCACATCCTGAGTATGGCCGGTCAACCAGATACGAATCAATCTGGTGGTGATGCTGTCTAACCCACATTTTTCTATCTTATCAAGTAGTAGGTTGTGATCTACTTTATCAAATGCCTTATTGAAGTCCAAGTAAATTATATCCACAGCATTCCTCTGGTCCACTAATTGTGTCACCTGGTCAAAGAATGCAATAAGATTTTGTCTGGCATGATCTGTTTTTGACAAACCCATGTTGGCTTTTGGTAATGACTTTGTTTGGCTCTAGGTGTTCGCTGATTCATTGCTTATCTTTTCCAGGATCTTCCCAGATATTGAGGTCAGACTGATAAGTCTGTAGTTTCCTGGATCCATTTTTTTTTCTTTTTTGAAGATAGGAACTACATCAGCTCTTTTCCAGTCTTCTGGTAGTTCCCCAGTTCTCCAGGATCTTTAAAACAGATGTCCCCAACCTTTTGGGCACTAGGGACCGGTGCCATGGAGAAAGGTTTTTCCACGGACCAGAGCGGCTGTGGTTTTGAATACTGCCTTCATCCTGAGGATGGAGCTTTGCTTGTTTGTGCGGCCTGCTTGCCGGCATGCTGTGGGCTGATGCCGGTCCATGGACCGGGGTTTGGGGACCCCTCCTTTAAAAGATATAGTTCAATGGTTCTGAGATCACATCTGCCAGTTCCTTCAAAACCTTGGGGTGTAATCCATCTGGTCCTGGTGATTTGAACTTGCCTAGGGTGGACAGGTGCTCACTTACCATTTTCTTGCCTATTTTAACTTATGTTTCTAATCTGCTTTTTACGGTACTGTTTTTGATAGGTTGGACTGGTTTTTTCCCCTTTTTGTAAAGATGGATGTAAAAAATGAGTTAAGTAGTTCTGCTTTCCCCCAGTTGCTTGTCACCTTCTTGCCACTTTCTCTCACTAACAGACCAATCATTTCTTTAACTTTTTTTCTTGTTTTTTACATGTTGAAAGAAGCTTTTTTTGTTATTTTTGACTTTTGTTGCCTTAGTTCATTTTGAACCTTAGCTTTCCTCACTTCATCTTTTGCAGATTTAAACAACTTAGCATAACACTCAATCATTTATTACAATTAATATAAAAAGAATGCCATTTCTTAATATATGTACTACAACCGTCTTCAAAAATAGGAAGTACCTTGGCATCCCAGTCTTTATTAAGGTAATATATACACGTAACACATCTTCCATCTCCATTTGGATTATCCACATGTCGCACATATCCTGTTCCATTGCCTGGGTAACAAGCTACCATTGCCTGCAATTAACAAGAAAGCATAAAACACGAACATAAATTGACTTTTCTTCTATCTCAAGGAATGGAATTCTGAATTTCAACATTTTGAAATTCATCTTGTAAAAATATTTAATAAATATGTAAGTGAATAGGTGTAATATCCCTGAAACTATTTTTTAAAAGGATATTCATTCAGACAGTTATCTAACACATTAGGTAATGATAGCCTTACACATATTGACAATTTGCAAGTGTTAATCATCTGGTATAATTATTGTGCCAGCATATATAGAGAAATTTTAAAAAAAACCAAAACAAGACAACATCACAGGTCAATGCTCAACAGAGTTTACAATTTCAAGTTTAAAACAGGAAGAAACCAAAAATATTTTGCAAGAACTTTTTCTGGGCCCAGGTATATGAAGGGTCCCATCTCTTGATTGTGATAATGATATTCTTGGCTGCTATGTTTTTAATTTTTGTTAATTGTCATTGTTTTATTTTATTGTTCACTGCTCGGAGTTATCACTGAGATGGGCAACTACATAAACTGATTAAATAAATAAATTCATAAGCAATACATCTATTTTCAATAATTTCCAAGTGTACTTCTGCTCCCACAATTACTTTTTTGGTTTTTTCCTCTGCAGCCCTCTCTTGTTCTAGGGTTCCTTACCTCCCTAAATGGCATAAATCTTTTCTGTCAGTAAACTGATATAACTTGAATGATCCACATTGTTTTATTATGGTATATTATGGTAATTTGGAGGAGAATACAGAGGGCTTTCCATTAAATTTTAGCCTGCTGTTTATAAATTCTATTGTGTTAATAATGTAGGAAACAGAAGATTAGTGTTTTTGTTGCTGTCTAAAGTTAGTTTTTAATACATTTATATCAGTGGTGGAATTCAACCAGTTCGCACCACTTTGGCAGAACCGGAAATGGCATCCACACAGAGAACCAGTTGTTCACATATTTGAATCCCACCACTGATTTATATGTAGTTACATGCAAAGAAACAAGAATGACTTTTCACTAGCATTTCAAAATAGTATAAAAAAATTTCATAGAACATTTTAAAAAGACACATGAAGGAATTGAATTATTACTTTCCTATAAAAAATTGGAAAGTTACTTTATATTCTACACTAAAACCTAAGTTTCAAAATGGGCAAGGCAAGGAATTCTAAACACTATTTGGGTCCACCCAACCTTCTATACCTTAAAATAGATTAACAAAAACAAAACAAAACTGCTATATTTGGATAATATGCTATGTTTCAACAAATATAATACCCTAGAGCTAAACAAGACTGCTTACTTCATACAATGCTAGGACAGTGATATGAACCCCAACAATACACTGAATTACAAACTATCCAACAGCACTTTAGCCTAGTATAGTATGTTGTATGAAGTCATCATGTCTGTTTGTTTATAAGATTTATATGGCTGCCCATCTTAAGCAACTCTAGGTGGCTCATAACAACAGTAAAACCAGTAACTATAAAACAACCATAAAATAAAACAGTAAACCAATCAAACAAAAGCCCTAGGCCATAATCATCCCCTTAGGATGCTTCACAGCAAGCTCTAATTATCCTCAGTATGGTCAGCTGAAATATATCTGTAATCTTTTAAAGATTATCTCTTTCTCCATTTATCTGCAGTAATAAGTTATTTTGTTGTAAGTACCTTTAGATTCCTCTCTAAAAACATTCCAAAAGAAAACAATAGTTACCAAGAAAACTAATAGAACTCTTAATGAATTAAGGAATTGAATTCCAAAGGAATATTTTTTTTTACCAGAAGCAATATAATAATAAAAATCTAGTTTTAGCTTTTATAGTCATATAAATTATTTGTTCTTTGATGAGAGCTATCCTAAACACCAGAAAATAAAGGAATAGAGTTAATACACACACACACACACACACACACACACACACACACATATTCAACATACTGGATTGTTCACATATCATAAAATAAGCAAAATTGGTTTGGACATTGATCATACCAAACTGGTTGTTCCAAGCATGAAATGTTTTGCACATTCGTAGTATGAATAAATTTAAGTGCTCCTGAGCATAATGTAAGAGTTTTAAGTATAGTAGCCACTGTTTTGTAAGCAAGCAAGCAAGTAAGCATGCGTCATAGTTTCAAACGGTTAGTGTTTCACAAGGAAGTTGTTCATTAAAACTAGTGGAAAGTTTTGGCTTCGCATTTGACAGGTGCAGCATAATGTGTCTATTTTTGCTTCAGACTTCTTTGTAACCAATCATGTTTTTACATGTCTGTAGTTCCTTGTTGCTTGATAATAAATAAACCCAGGGTTTTTTTGTTTCAGGGTCTGGCTCTTGGAATATTAGGGAACGTGTCTCTGTGTGTCTGACCAGGCTCTGCAAACCCTTTTCAATAAAGGCTGGAGATCAATCACTCGGGAGCCCTGAAAGTAGAGATGAGTCCTGAGAGTAGGAAAAATGAACCTCACTGCATTTCATACAATCAAGTTAGAAGGAAAAAAAGTATACGGTTTCTTATAGATTTTCTCCCCTCACAGCACTTGTTAAGAGCTGAAGTGGGATCTGATTCTCACCATTAAAATAGTTGTTTTGCACATCTTTAGCATCAGGAAATGAGCAGCAAAATTGTCACTGCTTAGAAAGGATCAGAGAAAGGACTCACGATTTAAACCTTGGGAACACATATGGCAAGATTCTGGATTCTGTTAGATACAGAATTTCTTTGAATGCTTGACTTTCTAATTGTTTACAACAAATCTACTAACTTTGTGTCTGCTTGGGAATACAAAAACGAGAGTGTTCAATTGTTGTATCAGGTACAAAGATGTAATGCTTGTATTGATACTTAATTTATCATTATCATGGCCCTAGGTTATTTGGGGGAATCGCCTCTCTCCAGTTACATCTACCTGTCTCATAGGTCTGGCAGAAGAGGCATGTTACAGGACTCCTCAGATAGGGAATATTTTCAAGTGAGATCTAGGACACCCTTTTCTGCCATGGTGCTCACCTTGTGGAGCATTCTTCTGCCCAAGGTGAGGCTAGCTCCAATTTTATTGATCTTCTAGAAGTCATTCAAAACATGGTTATGTCAACTGGCTTGGATCCCATAATAGAGCGGAACCTGCCAGATGGTTACGTGATGGCCAACTGAATGAATTCTCTATATGGCTCCCCCCACACTATTTTAAAAATCTTTTTAATTGTTGTATTATTAATTGGCTTTTTATCTATTTGGATTACCTTGTACACTGCCCAGAGTCACTACATGAGATGGGGGGTAATATAAACGTGATTGATAGGTGGATGGTTAGACGACTGGATGGATGGATATCCTTTATTAAAAGCATTCTTAACAGGTATATGAAAACGTTTTGCATAATATTTCATTTTTGCACAAACATTTAAAATTAGTCTTTGTTTCTAAGATAAGTTTCAGATTCTATCTTCCCATTCAACTGGCACTATGTGATATAGCAACATACTATAACTAAGATACCTTCAAATGTGTTATAAGCACAAAATTTTCAGTTTAATTTTCTTAAATATTTTTCTTTCAGGACTCCTCCTCACTACTGACCTACTGACCACACAAAACCCTTATAAATAGAAGAACACTGACATTGTCATTCCCTAAACTCTGCTGAAGATATTACCTAGCCTGGTAATGAAATGTTCGGAAAGCAACCCACACAACCCACAAGCTTGGAGAAGGAACCTTCACCCTCATCCTACACCCAAGCTATAGAGATTCACCACTATTGCAGAGAGAAGAAAACTAAAATGCCTAGGGTAAAAATTGGTATGCCACAAACTAAGCCCAATATATCCCAATAAGCTAATTGTGTATTTTTTTTTCTCAACAACAACAGCAACACTACAAGTGAGAAAAGGATGCTTCTCCTACAAAAGTGGTCAACTCCTAAGTCAAGAGAAAGCCAACCTGGAAAATAACTAATTCTCTATTAAATAAGCTCAATCAACCTTTGCAGTTCTTTATATTACTTTGCACAAAAAGAATACATAACTTAAAAATAAAACAGAAAAAGGAAAGAATTTATAAAACTTAAGATGCAGAAATGTATTCAACCTACTTTGAGATAGAGCTAGAAATGCGGAGGTATTTTTTTTAACTTCATCTTTTGGAATATTTTAAGAACAGCTAGGAAGATGAACTTAAATTAGTATACCGTGAAGGCTTATTGAGTACTGTAGAGACCAAACTGGCCTGTAAGACAGACCAAAAGAAGAATAGAAAAAATACAAGGCAAAATATTACATGGCCTTTTTAAAAAAAAAAAAAAAAAAGCAGGTAAAGCAGATAGCAAAACCTGGCAGTGGCTAAAAGCAGGAAAGATGAAAAAAGATACAGGCTAATTTTGGCTGTACAAGACCAAGCCTTAAGAACAAATACAAAGCCAAGGAACAAATGAAGCCTCTGCAAATAAGCTGAAAAAACAGTAGACTACCTAATTAACTGCTGCAAGAAGACTGCAGAGACTGACAAACAACAGCACGACAAAGTAACAACAATGGTGCATTGGAAGATCTGCAATAAACACCATTTGCCAGCAAGGAAGAACCGGTGAGTCCACAAAATAGACAAATAGAAAATGAAGAAGCTAAAGTGCTCTGGGATTTTAGAATTCAAACAGACAAGTACTTGCCATATAACACTCCGAACTTAACAATTGTTGATAACAAGAACAAAAAATCTGGATAGTGGACTTCGTTGTACCCAGAGATAGCAGAATAGAAGAAAAAGAGCTGGAGAAAATCACAATATGCAAAGACTTACAAACAGAAGTTCAATGATTATGGGCGAAAGAAAACAAAGATAGTATATAGGTATCTTAGGTGTAATACCAAAACAACTGGAGAAACCACATAGACCAAATAACTGAACAGCAACAGCATAGACAAAATGACTATCAGTCAACTGCAAAAGGAAGTTTTCTTTGGAACAAAACATTACATCCTGTGATGCTGATAGC